CCCGCCCCACCCCCGCCCCCATCTGCAGCTGCTCCAGCCACCCCGACCTTAGAGAACCCCCCACCCAGGCATCTCGGGAGGCGTCCCGCTGAGGCCTCTGCAGAGACAGACATGGACACCCACTGCAGGGACAGCCGTGACCCTGGGCATCGGCTTGAGGCCCTGCTCACGAGGACGCGGCTCACAGCCTGGCCTTCCCGGCACCCGCCCGTTTCTACACCCATCCCACTAACACGCAGGGACACCAAGGCACGGGGAGGACCCTGGCTCCCGGCCAGAAGGCGGCAGAGCCGGGAGTGGGCCCTGCCCTCCACTGTCCTGAACAGCCCTGAGTAAGCTGTACGGTCACTCTACCTGTCTCCCACACCGTACACGAGGGAAACTGAGGCCCGGAGACGGCCATGTGGCCTAGGCCAGGGCAGGGCCCCCGGGCCAGCCCGGGCCCCCGGGCCCCCCCTGCCTCTCTGTGGCTGTTTCAGAGGGTCCTCTGGCCTGCCTTCTGGTTCTCCTTTGCCTGCCCCTGGGCCCAGGAGGCCACGTGGCCAGAGTCTGGCCAATCAGAGCTTTGCAGCAGGGAGAGGTGAAGATTCCAGACTCCTGGGGTTTGGGGGTAGGATACCAGGCTGAAGCTGCTGCAGGCACCCCTCAGTCACGCGGGACCTGAGCAGCCGTGGTAAGGGTCTGTCCCCTAGAAACTGGCTGGGACTTGGGTACAAGGCCGCGTGGGTGCTCCCCAGGGCTGGCGGGTGGCAGGCCCCTGTCAGGTTGGTGTGGGGCACCCCAAGGGACACAGGCTACCACCTCCCACTTCCCATAGTCCCGGGCCACAGGAGGCTCCACCAGTCGGGCCCCAGACAGGCGCGGCCGCTGCACCGGGAGCAGGCGTGGAGCAGCCGCCCCCTCGTCGGCCCCCTCGTCGGCCCCCTCGTCAGCCCCATCAGGCTGAAATCGGATTAGCGTGAGGACACCAGCCCCACACCAGTCGCCTGCCTCCTGGGCTCAGGACTCACTGTCATCTGTCATTCAGCTCTCTGAGGCCCAGGGTGGGGTGGAGGTCCTGGGCAGGAGGGGCAGAGCAGGGCTGAGAGCCGGCCCCGCGTCTGAGACACAGGCATCCCCAGCGCGCCCCGAGGGGCTGCCCACCGCACCGGCCGCTCCTGGCAGCTCTGAAACTGACCTCCCGCAGTCCGCGTGACCCCTTGGGGGCAGTGCCAGAGCAGCTTCCTGCCTACAGAGAGCACGGGGCAGCTCGACGAGGGCAGCCGCCGGGCACGCCACCTCCTGGTACCCGCACCAGGCCCCCAGCAGTGCGGGCCTGGGGAACGGGACAGGTTTCCTACACTCCAAGCCTGCAGTGACCTGGATGCTCAGCCCTGAGAGGGGGGTACACTCAGGGAAACCAAGGCCCAGGGAAGGGAGGCCTGAGGCCACACGGCTAGCAAGCCGGGGCCAGATACTCGCCATCTGAGTTAAGGCCCATAGCACCCTGTGAGGAGCCGTGGCGTCACCCCATTCCACAGCTGGACAAAGAGGCTCGGCGCAGCGAGGTCACAGCTCGCGGTGTAAATGGTGTGGCTAGGCCACGACTGCGGGCCCCACCCAAAGGGCAAGGAGAAGTCCCGTCTCACCAGAATGGAGGCAAAGAGCCAGCAGCATTACGGGGGGTCTGTGCTTCCAGGTGGCCCACACCGTCCCCGCGGCTGAAGCCCCATCCCACGTGGGCTGGGAGGCAGGAGCACGATGCCCCGTGGGATGTGACTCACTCCTCAGGGGTGCCCCTGGCTACCAGACCCACCCCCCAACCATGTGAACTCGACGATCTCATCTTTGCAGTGAGGAGCCGGCCTCAAACCCCAGGGACGCCAGCTCTGACCACGAGGCACCCCAACGCACGACCCAGGTCACACAGAAGCGCCACGGCGAGGGCTTTGCAGGAGGCCGGGACTGAGCTGCGAGGTGTGAGCCGCTCACAGCAGCCCCGAGCCACAGCAGCAGCTGACTCACAGAGAGGGTCCCGGGCTGGCTACGCCACCAGCAAGGACGTGACAGGGCTGGCCACAGAGCTGGGACAGCGACCGCCAAGGCCGACCTCTGCCCTCTCAGCCATCCTGCCTGTATGTTTCTGAGCAGGGGATAACGGTTTTTAAACAATTCCGGGAAGACTGAGGCTGGCAGAGGTGACGGGAGACAAGAGTCAAGGCCAGTCTGGGTTAGATGGGGGGGCCACCCAGGGAACCAGGGCTTAGGATCCGGCCAGGGTGGGGGGCGCTGAGCCCCCACGTGTGTGACGGTGAACTGGCAGCTGGGCGCCACCCCGCGGCCTGCTCGAACTGTGCTTTTCTACCCCAAGCCCACTCATCCCGATGGCGGACTCCACACGGAGCCCAGCGTGCAGACGAGCCCGGGGTGTGAGGCGAAGGGGATCCAGCAATGTGAGCCCCGCCCAGTCCCTCTCGGGGGCCCCACCCTACCTCTCATAGGGCTTACCCCAGAAGTCCCTCTGGCTACCCCTCATCCTAGGAGTGAGGCCCAGCTGAAGGTGGGAGCCCCACAGAGAAAGCCCCTGGCTGAGGCCCCCACCCCAGCCCCCCACTGGGTAAACTGCGTCTCCGCCCACCAGCTCCCTGACCATGCACACACACCTCATGGTGACGGCCCTGACCTGGTCAGCCAGCACGCCCCAGGCCTGCGCCCACTCAGTGGCAGCTTGCCCCCTCCATACCCTGCCCTCCTGTAAGATGGGCAAGGAGAGCGCACACACGACTTCCAAGATGCGGCAGGTCAGAAGCGGCAATGACACTGGGGCCATCTTCCTACGGAGCCCCAACGGTCCCTGCAGCACCACGTCCTGGAGGGCAGAGGGCGGGCGCTGACTCCATGGCCCTGCCACAGGCCTGAGAGCTCCCCTGAGGCCAACAGCCCCCAAGCCATGGCCCAGCGTGGCCCAGCGGCTGCACCCCACAGGAACCAGGGCCGTCATCACCGGGGTCCCACCCTGGGGTGCATAGCTGCTCGCCTCTGCCGGCCTCTGACCTCTAGGTGACCCGTCATGGCTACCTCCCAGGGCATGGGACAGGGCCACAGGCTGCCCGAGACCTCCAGAGACTGCCTTGCTCTCCCTGCTCACAGACAAGTGACCCAACTGGAGGGGACAGCCTGCCAGGCTCTCCTGCTGCGAGAGACACCTGGAGAGACGGCACGGTGGTCCCAGGCCCTCGACCAGACAGGACTTTCTTTAAAAACCTGGTTCTTTCTGAGGTAAGGTCCCCATGACCAACTCCACGCTCTCCAGCAAA